GCGTGGCGAGGAAACTACCGAGAACCGGATTTTATTAGATAGGTAAGCGCGAGGCGAACAAGTTAGAAAACAGTGTGTGACACTATGAAATCTCGTGTGGTTTTTTTAAGTGGCTTTTTTTAAATTACTTCACTTGAAAAATAACCACCGTTGATTGATGTTTTGTTTTTATGTGATACGCGTAACAACTCAAAAACTAACTTTTCCTTAGAGGTTTGTTGAAGATAGCACACAATGTCGAAAGAGTGAGAGATACAGCTCACAAAAAAATATATTTACAGTACAAACTAAATAAATAAATAGTATAAAGAAGAGGGATTAATATGGAACCCCACTAAGGAGATCAATCAACAACTTTTCTACTTCTACTTCTGGATCGGTTATTTTTCTCTACTTTCTGAGAAATAAATAATATGGTATATCCAGGGAGCAGTTATGATGCTATATTGGCTAATAACCCAAGAGAATTTGGTCGGATAGAAAGGCCAACGTGGCTCTCTTATACTAAGATTGCTGATTTATCTATTTAATTTCTATATTAAAACGCTCGCTCGATTATATCGTGCGTTTTAATATTCAAAAATAATAGATATGATGCGCGAAATCTGCTTGACGATCGCGAACAATTTCGTAAAGTGATTTATAGTCTCTCGCAAACTGAGGAGGAAATTGAAGAGGAGAAATTGTGTGATGACGAGCGGTGGGCGGATTTGGATTCTGAAGCGGAAGATATGTATGATTTCTCGGAAGAAGAACGGGATGTGTACATTGGTAAACATTTTCTTTTGGAGAATTAATTATTAGCCGAATGTTTAATTAAATCTGCAATTTTTTATCGAATTTTGTATGCTCGTTCTTGAATTACTGAGTAGAAGAAAAAAAGGAAGAGACGAAAAATGCAAGAAGAGAATAGAGAATACGCATATGAATATTCAGAAGACAAACAACAAGAGACCATAGGTATTTGATTTATAGATATAATCAAATAATTGGAATTCTCACGTCTTACATTTATTTCGGTAAATTTACAGAAGAAAAATCAGAAGAGCAAGTAAATGTTACTGAAAATTCTGAATATACGCCCAAATTTGTTGTACCGCGAAAGATGGTTACGGTACTATTAATTAATTATATACATTAAATATTTTTATTTTCTGAATTCATGTCCTCATTATTAATCTTTATCTTTGTCTCAAAGCCGAAAAGCGAAAGAGTCGACGAAATAATCGAAAGAACCGCGAGGTTTTTAAATACCAGTAATGATCCACAAATAGAGATTGTACTGGAAGCGAAACAGGCGAATAACCCAAGCTTCAGTTTTCTAAATAAGGACGATCAATTATATCCATATTACAGACATGTTAGATTGCTCTTGCAAACTGGGTTATTTGCTTATGGCAATGGCAGCGACGAAGGTGAATCAAGCCAAGAGGATGAGGACGAAGAAACGGCGAGTGAACTACCAACGCAAGTTGAAGCAAATGAAGAAAGATCGCCACAGATTTTGGACCAACAGAATATAATTGATGAGGTAGTTGGCCCCAAGGAAGAGCATGAAAACGGACAAATACTAAATCATCATCCGAATGGAGTGAATGCGTCTAAGCCGTCTTCTGGAACCAAACTTCCGCCTAAACCTTATGGACCCGCTGTGTGAGTTTATATTGTATTATTAATAATTTATATTGGAGGACAAAAGTCTAAAAATTAACATTTTTCTTCCTTATTATTTAAAGTGTACCACCACCCGAGATTCAACTCGTGATTGATGAACTCGCAGCTTACATTGCTAAAAGTGACCCATCTTTTGAATCAAAAATTCGCGCACAACATATCGACGATCCGAAATATAGTTTTCTTTTGCCGTGGAATGAATATAATCCATATTACAAGTTTAAAATTCAAGATGAAAGAAATCTTTTGGGAAAAACTAAAAAAGAGGAACGGCATCAACAGCAGAATCGAGAAACCGAAATCAATAGGGCATCGGAAAAAGAAGTGAATGTTGATTATGAAACACCATCAGATTCAGAAAGTTCGCTGTCGGATTGAAATTTTCATGCTTGTACAAAATTTTCTTATCTATTGTTATTTTAAAGCATTACAGATATACATTGATGATATGGCGTTAACTAATTCATTTGTATTTACTTAATTTATTAATAAACAAATTCACGTATTATTGTCATGGAATTCTATCGTATACAATATACGTATAGCGTTTTAGGGTATTCAATAAATAACTTGTTTAATCTCAACAAATTCTATCTTAAACGCAAATATATGCGGGTACTTTAATGAACAAAAAGATATGTACAATAAATAGTAGCAATATAATAATAATAATAATAATAATAATGAGTAGAGCGTGTGGTGGTGATATAAATAAATAAATAAAATGACCCAACGGTTAATGATAAGCTTAATATAATAAAGAAATAAATATAAAATATTCTTGAATGCTGCTAATGCAAAATATGATATACAAAAAAAGGGTGACCTAGATAAAATAAATAGCCAAGCCCAAAAAGAAAATATACAAAACATAAGAGTATTGTAAGAAAGAATCCTTCATGACAATTATTTGTAAAATACACAAACAAA